AGTCTACAGAGATTAGTTCAGAGAATGCCATTGCTCTTTTCTAGTGTTTTCTGTCATGCTCTATGGTGGCCTTCTTCATCTCCACTCATTTTCCGATGCTCATAACAGGTTTTAAGAATTAACAGACTGCAAATGAGTATTAGAAAAAAACACTGCTCTATAACTGTTTAAATCTGTCTGCAGAGAACAGCCTGCAGGCGTGCTGAAAGAGTTTAGATAACAAGATCTGTGAACACTGGTCTCAACCAAGCCTGCTTTTCCTTGGATTTCTATCTTGTCATTTACCTGGATTTCTAACAGAACTTGAGCATTGCTGTTAAATTAGCTTAGCTCTTAAAAGGCACAGGAGACTAATAACATCCTAAGCAGTAGATTTTCATTGCTGTTTGCATGAAAGAGACAGCGAGAATTGTGTGTGCCCCTGTGGCCCGGAAAGCCAATGGCATTCTGGCTTGTATCAGGAATAGCGTGGCCAGCAGGACTAGGGATGTAATTCTCCCTTTGTACTCAGCACTGGTGAGGCCTCACTTCAAGCACTGTGTACAGTTCTGAGCCCCTCACTTCAAGAAAGATACTGATGTGCTGGAGCAGGTCCAGAGGAGGGCAATGAGACTGGTGAAGGGACTAGAGGGAAAGTCTTATAATGAGAGGCTAAGAGAGCTGGGGGTGTTTAGCCTGGAGAAAACTCAGGGGTGACCTTTTCGCTCTCTACAACTACCTGAAGGGAGGTGTAGTCAGGCCCACCTACAGTCAGCCTCTTCTCCCAGGCAACTGGTGAAAAGATGAGAGGGTATAGCCTGAAGCTGCGCCAGGGGAGGTTTAGGCTGGATATTAGAAAACACTTTCTCATGGAGACGGTGATCAGTCATTGGAATGGACTGGCCAGGGAGGTGCAGAAGTCACCATCCCTGGAGGTGTTTAAGGAAAGGCTGGATGTGGCACTTAGTGCCATGGTCTAGTCAATGTGGTAGTGTTAGGTCATAGGCTGGACTTGATGATCTCAGAGGTCTTTTCCAGCCTCAATAATTCTGTAATTCTGTGATTCTGTGAAAACAGTAAAATAGTTACTGACAGTAAGTAATGCAGATGAAACATTCAACACAAACTGTGACAAACTGATCCCAAGCCTACAAATAAGGACAGCAGAGGGCAACAGAGTGGGAGGTGCTGACTTCTCTCTGGAGACCAGCGATAGGACACGTGGAAATGGAAGATTATCCTGAGAGCAGAGACTTTACCCATACAGAAAGAGCATTTTAGCATATGACTAAACACAGGAAGCAAATACTCAAAACCCAAGGCACACTTATGAGGAAAATTTCACATACCAGATAAAACATCTGGATGTAAAAGTATTTCACTATCATACTGATTTACTATCATATGCTGGGACATGTTTATGGATAAATATAAAACAAGAGTGACATCTAAATGGGATTAAATGGAATCACATCTCATATTAAGGTAGTATACTTGCTTGCTGATACTCTGCCAAGTATTTTGGGTTCATCACTCCTGTGATTACAAAATCACTGTTATTTAAGCCCTAGTCTGTCACTCTAAATACAGTACTTTTCAATGCACAAACTGTTCTGGAGGGTGCTTGAATGAAGTAATTTATCAGATTAGAAATACTTGTTATACCTTGTCAAAGATGGCATGGCTTTCCATTGCAAAATGCCCAAAACCACTACATGAAAATGTGTACAGTCTGGTCTGTTCGAAAAAAATGAATCAGTCCTGCTGTGGCAATTATCAGGATGTGGGATGAAAAAACAAATTCGCAGGAGTCCCAGCAGAAAGCAGAACAGATCAACAGGATCCCAAACTAACTGAGACAATCCTATTTAATCTCATATGCTGTTGACCAACAGAAAAATCTTTTAAGAAAGAAGAAAAAACAGGATGAAATTGCATCTTCAAACAAGACAGAGAATCACTGCAAAGGCGATATGCACCTAGAAATTCCCATCTATGTCATTTCACACTGACCTCTTGGGTAGACAAATGGGATAAATAGTACTGCTGAAGAGTCTCTAGATACTGCTGTGGCTGTACTAGGAAACATTCTTACAGCTACTGCTTTCAATTTCCTCATGAAAATGCACAACGTATTCCTCACTCTGATCTTCTCTTTCTGTCTTGACGTAAAACGTAAGACCAGATTCTAAACTAATGTGAATATATATCATTACACTATATTTAGAATGAACAATATCCTGTGTCATGGAGTGAGAACCTGGATAATTCCATAATTTTAAGGGAATTTAATGAAAATTTGAGGCAGAAACTTGAATTTCTCAGAATATGTAGTTATATGCCCAAAATTGACCCTGTTTAATTGGAATAAAAATTAACATCTGGCAGATTAAAGACATGAAGAATAAAGGAAGTAAGGTAGTACCTACAAGAACTGGAATGAGCCAGACTTAATTGAGCCACAAAACACTCAAATCACCATTCTGAAACATGCTGCATAATGACATAAAATAATTTTATTAATTTGCTAATAAAAGACTGGTATACTGTGAAAATGCAGAACTGCTGTTGAAATGCTATTTCCCTGCCTCTCAGCAGACATTTAAAATGGCTACTCACTCAGCATTTCACATTCACCTGGCTCTGTTTTTGTGTGCCTGAATGAATATTCCAGGAAAGGACTGGTCAATTGTACACATGGAAATGAAGTATCTAGAAGGGGTCAGAATTCATAGGAATGCAAATCAAAATGGAACTTCCTGACATCTTAATAAGTCAAGAGCCAAATCAAGCAGGTCATTTTACACAGCTAAAAATGAAAGCCGAGAACTGGCTTATATCACTCCTACGTTCTTGTTATGCTTTATCGAGTGTATTGGCACAGCTAATTTGTGCCAATCAACTTGAAACATCTTCATCAGAATACTCCAATCCATTTTGCTCTCTTTTCACTTCTCCTAGGGTGGCTGCAGGAGAGACTTTTATATGAACTGTCGCCAAAGTCAAGTTAAAACATTGCGGGCTAAAAGCTGCTCAGGAAGATGAGCCTTTGGAAATTACCTTCTACTAAGAACTGACTTTATTTCTATAATCCATTCTCATTTGCTTCCTAGTCTATTAATACTTTTTATAATCCTTGGGGAAGAAACTGAAAAACAATTCTGCATCCTTGCTGTGAAATTCTGACTGTATCTTCAGTTACTTCTTTTTTGAAATGGAAGAAACAGAACAAACTACACATATATATATATGAAGAGGCACACAGAAAAGTTACTTGTCGAAGCTTACATCACTGACCTCCAACTTCCCAGCTATATCCACTGACAAGGTGGACTTTATGTTTCTAGTCCTGTATAACGTACTACAACACTTCTGGTCTTGGTAAAACGTGAAAGAAGATTTCTTTCACAGAGAATGCATGTCTGTCTCTTTAAATCACTTCCTGCCTCTTCAGCTCTCCCTTATTCAGGAACAGAGCTCATGAGCTCTGTCACAGGACCAGGGCAGCAGGAGAATGAACCAGAATGAAGAGGTGCAGTTTGTACTGCTATGCCAAACCTTGGCAACCTATTACAAGCAGAATGTGTGAGAAGGAATTCTGCAGGAGAAACTGAAAAATTAAGTAACAGTGGCTCAGTATGAACAGCTAAGTTTTTCTTTCTCCATCAGTGAAGGAAAACTTTACCAACTCTTAATCACTAATGCAGACACAGATGTTCTTACTCAGGTACTAATCACTGAAAACTTACTAACTTGAAGGGCAGATTTAGTAGGCAGTGGAAATTCTGGGTAGCAGATATTATATCTGCCCAGATCTGATAAGAAGCATCTCAGTTAAGATGCAGCAGTTAAAAGTTCTCCCATATGTAACTTTCATTGTAATTCCTCTCTGCTACTAATTATGAAGTCTGCTTTTACACCTTAAAATACCATTTTTACACACCAGGAATTATGCAATCTAGAAAGAGAACATCTAAAGTTATAAATCCAGCAAGAATCGGAAACATTTAGTATTCCAAAAAGGGGTATCATACATTAAAAGTGGTAAAACACAAAACACGACTTGGAAAAAATTAAAAAAACTCAGTAAAAACCAAAACTCCTGCTTCTTTATTTCATCAGTTAACAGAATGATATTGCAATATATCTCAAAGCAACTTCTGAGTAAGAGTAGAAGTAATCAAAGGCACTTAATTCTTCCTTACAGAAGGAAAAATACTAACTGGAAATATGCTATAGGAAATTGGTTAATTGTCCTTTATTAAGTGGCTCTAAGCAGATGTTACACACCAGCTCATCAACCAATTATTTAATGGCTTTACTCAGTTTTAATTATAGAGCAGATAATAACAAAACTGCACTTAACACAGGTAGCTCCTTTGTTAAATTAGATTCACATGCTATTAAAGCTACTCAGCTGTTTGGCAAACTGTAGTTTTATAGATTGGTATATTATTTGCAATTATTGCCAATTGCTATGAGCAATGATTGCAATATCTTTGGAACACCTCTCTTGCTGACACTATTTAAATGCAACAATTTCATGGCTAACAGCTCTTGTTATTGAAGTAACATTGCCTGTAAGTGCCTGATAGAAGTCTTCTACCTTTATACCTGGAAATATGCACTTTATCTGCTATAAGGGTTGGTGTGTATTTTCTCTCATAATGGGCCAGTTTACATATCCTAAGGTATCTAAAGTAGCAGTTGATCCTTAGACAGTCTCAACTGGATCAGGGGATTATCGATGTAATAAAGTACAATACAGACACTCATTATCAGGCGTTCATGTGACTGGAGTAGAAGCCTGTGGCCGACACATGGGACCCATGCTGATGTCTGACACAAACAAGTTTGTGAGGAAAGTTTCCTGCACCATCTGGAAACAGAGGAGACAATAAACATCTCCCTTTCAGGAACAACCACATTTCAGCTGCCCATGCAGATACGTCCATACCCGACAGGTGCTGGCTTTGGTAAGAAGAGTGCATTTTCTCTATGCTGACTTCAGAGATAACACATCAGAGAAGAGAAACATTTTCAGCCTCTAGGAATGATAATCCAATCCCTGTTTGTGCCATGTCCATTGTAGCAGATAAATGTACAACCTTGCAGACTAAAGCAGCAGGTGGGGAGTGCACTGTGCTGTGCAGGTAAGAGCTGGAGAAAGAGAAAAAAAATCCAGTTAAAAAAATATTTAAAACTCAGGCATAGATCTGACAGAGAAGTTGAATCACTCATATTGATGGGATAAATAAGAAACGGGGTTTCTGAAGTTTTTCAAAGACCTAAGTTGCTGGTACAAATTCTCAACATTATAGCCAGTACGAGATGGGTAGGAAGCATTCCCATAACATCTGATGACTACCTGACCTATGTTAACTTTGGCATCAACACCACTCAAGCCCAGTGCAGAATTTTAGAAAGCTGAAGCTCTGGCACCACCCTTATGCATCTGACTGGGCATCACATATGAAAGCAAAGGATTAGGAGGAAAGAAGCAAGGTGAATGTGTGACAAGGCATCTTAGCAATAATTATGGGCTAAAGCATTTTTTAAATGAAAAAAATTTAAAATATCTAAGGACATCAGCAGTCAGGCTGTGCATTTTGTGAACCCAGTGTCAGACTCACTCACAGCGAACGGTTAAGACTGCTGTCAGCAATCATGCAAGTGGGAATGCACAATCTGTCCCACTGCAGTAACATAATTGCTGACGCAGCAGACTCATGGCAAGATGGTGAGCACTTGAATACAGTGGTTCTTTGTGACAGATGCTGCAGAACAGGAAAGCTTACAGGGACTCCAAGAAATAATCCAAGACCATTCACCTGACACCATGGCAAGGCTAGCTGTAGCTGTGTCATTCCTGACTAATGTTTGTTTAACTTGCTCCTGCAGACCACCCAGAAGCCGTGGTTCCACAGCACTTGCAGCAATCTGTTCCCATGCCTCCCTGTCCTGGTGTTCAGAAGCACACAGGTATACTGCTCATGGATAGTACATGCACAAACACCACAGACAGAAGGAAGTTAGTCCTTCTATAATGGCTTTTTGTATATTTGTATATCATGCTTTTTGGCAGTCTCTTTTCTGCCAGACTACGCAACCTACAAGTAGATTACCCTACTTGCAAATGGATCAGACAGACTTCATGTCTCTCTTGTCAAGTTCCTCTGTTTCTCCTGATGGGCTGCATCTTGGAGTACAGTGCCTAAAACAGGCATTACAGAACCACAGAATCTTAGGAGTTGGAAGGACCTTTAAAGATCATCCAGTCCAACCCCCCTGCCAGAGCAGGATCACCCAGACTAGGTCGCACAGGAAGGCGTCCAGGCAGGTTTTGAATGTCTCCAGAGAAGGAGACTCCACAACCTCTCTGGGCAGCCTGTTCAGTGCTCTGTCACCCTCACAAAGTTTTTCCTTATCTTCAGGTTGAACCTCCTATGCTCCAGTTTGCTCCCATTGCCATTAAACTGATGCTTATTCAAAACTAAAAAAGTATTAGTCATTTGTGAACATTACAGCTACACCTTGTAAGCACTGTGAAGGGTCTTATCACAAATGACAACTGGGTTTTCCCTTCTCTGACTCCTACTGGGATGAGACAGCTTTTATTTCTGCTAAGGATTCTGTCTGATGTTCTCTCAAACAGAAGAGTGGATTCTCTGTACATTCTCTGAATTTCTCTGTACATGAGATCAAAGGCATAAAAGATACTTGTTTAATTATCACGTCCTGGCCCCCAACATTACACCACATTACAGCATGACCTCTATCAAATTTACACAATGTACTCAGCTCCCTAGGGATGTTACTTTGGGTTTTCTTTAGCTTTTGCTCCTTTTAAAAGAAGACTGAAATAGAAATTCAGGCCCTAATCTAATCTAGTCATTCACAACTGGTTCATACTCATACATGATGCTTCCACTACTGTCTATTATCTCAGATAGCTCTGTTATCACTGTGATGCTAACTGATTTGACATAGTTTTAAAAAGTATTTATATTCCCTCTGTCACATTTTTGCCAGAGAAACTGAAATAACTGAGGAACTTTTCACACCATGACAGCCCAGAGATGCCCTGACAATGTTGTCCAAAGTATCAAAACCAAACAAGACTGCAAGCTCAAGTTTACCACTGCATCCGATTGCCAAGGGAATCCTAAGATCCCTTCTTTAATTACCCAAAGAAAAGAAAGACATTGTGAAACCTTTACTTTGGAATTTAGATTGTAAGAACTGCTTTGAAATTTAGGCAACTACAAATAATCCAAATAATCCTACTTTCTCCAGCCCTGTGTAAGACTTGCACCTTCTATTTCTAAATGCCAAATAAGCAGCTTAACTGATCAGTGCTCTATACTTCACGGACTCCAAGCTGGAAGCTCCTGACCTTTCAAGGGACAAAAGTCAGAAAACTACTCTTAGAGACAAACATATTAAAAAAAACAACAAAGATGTATTTTTCAGTCCAGAGATTTTATACATACATAGACATTCACAATTTCTTAAAGGCACATATTTACCTTTGAAAGGAAGACAGTTATAAAGTTAATAACCCTGCATGAAGGATCATGAAACACAAATAAATAAATTTCTTCACAATTTCTAACATGCTTTTATTGTGGCCTTTAGCTAAATATCAACTGCTACTGGAAAACAATCCTTTATGGCCTTTAAATAAAGTTGGGAAGACTAGAAATTAATTTCTTACGTAAGAAAAGTACATCAACATTTCTGTTTGTATGGCTTCACTTTTAGATTAAAAGCTGTCACTTCTAGAGACACTGGTGCTACTCAGTGTCTGAATCCTTCCTTAATTACAACAAGACTCATACTTTTCAGATGTTTCACCAGTGACAGCAAAGATATAGAGGGCATCAGTTCAAGCAATGACAGGATTAGTGGCCACTAAAGGAACTCCTGTTAACGGTTTCAAACCACCCAGGAGGCCTAAACCAAGCATGCTGGCGAGGAAAACTATGGAGAGAAAGACATGTAAGCCTTGTGCAAGAGGACTAGAAAACTGGAGTTACTACATACCGTGTGACTGAGAATGACAGAAACAGTATAAGGCAGACAGCAGCAACCGACCCTAATCCAATGACAGTCATGTATTGTGGAGTGGGTGATAAATCTGAAAGAAAATAACAAGTAATTCAAACAAACAAATATAAAATAGTGTTGCTTCAGTCTTGTGACTAAGTCTGCTGAAATTTAAAATACTGTAATAAAATTCAGATGCTGGACTTACTGCCTAGTCAAATAGTAATGCAGATGACTATCTAGTAGACTGTACTTCTCCATGCCTCAGCTTCCTGCCTTTTTTAAAAAAAAATCCGGATACTTGATGTCAACATTTTCCCTTATCACCACTGGCAATTTCAGTCTAAATCATATGCCGAGGTGGTCTCTGGTGCCAGAAAAATCTTAAGTGCTTTATTAAATGGCTCAATGCAACTCTTTCAAAATTTTTACTATCTGGGCGTGATTCCTCTTCCCCATTCTTTTATTATATTTTTCCAAGTAACAGAATAGAAATAAAAGCCACCCAGAAACAGAACAGAAGGCTTACTGTGATTTGCTGTCAAACGCAAAATTACTAAGAACTACTGGTGAAAGTAACATGAGAAAACAGAAACTCAATCCCCTTCAGCCAACTCTATCCCATTTTCAGCATTAGTCAAAGGTTATTTATTTCTTACCAGACTTATCACAGAAATCTAGGATGCTGGACCTTATTCCTGCACGATTCCACAACTCTACTCGTTGTTAAATCTTGCAAGCATGAGTATTTAATGTTTTAGCAAAACCTTAAATTCTTGCAAAAACGGCACTCACTTCAGTGAAATTACTATGTCCACAATGAGGATCCATGTGCCTGAACATCAGAAGAGCAACTCCTGTTATGCAAATTGAACTCTTTTTTCGGCTCATCTGAATGCAAAGGCACAAAACCGTCTAGGCACTCACTGGAAACACTATCAACAATTGATCTGAAGCACCAGAAAAATCATACAGAGTCGTAAGGAGAACCTGTCCAGTTTACCATCTTTGCCTAACACTGCGCAGTGAAGCAAGGCTTGCATCTGTGCAGCACCACTCACCTGGAAAATTAGTGTGAGTCTGGCAAAATACAGAATTTCAGACAGAGACTCTAAAAGGAAAATCTGTTTAACCTACAAGCATGTTTGGTTTTAGCAGAAGTTACACCTGTCCTTATATCACTGTAACACCCGTTTCCATAAGAAAGTTACGCATCTCCAGAGCAGGTGTCAGTCCTCTGTAAAATTGATAGCACTGTCTTCCCTATTTAGAGTATATTTGGTGAAAAACTCTCAAAATTCCTTTTGCTTATTTGCGACAGAAGGAGGCATGCTTCTAACAGCTTTCTACCACTTTTTATGACCATGAACTATCATACAATGGGTAGCTTTGTCTAGATGGCATCTGAAACAGGCCCATTTGGTTTAGATTTAATTTACAGATTTGCCTTCCACAGTAGTTGAATTAGGAAATACTCCTCAAACAATTCAGTGAGCTAAAAATACTCTCAGTCTCTCCAGCTGCGTAAGTACATCAGGCCAAGGACACCATCGGCTAGAAAGTCCATTCAATATGAAGGAAAATGGATTTACACCAGAAAGCCAAAGGCCAACTCCCAACTTCCAATGCCCATTCTTTTCATCCCAAAATGTTTGCTTTTTGCTGAAACACGATGAAATGGGTAAAGAGAATACTTTCTGCTAGGGTGGAAATGAGGGAAACTAGATCTTTAGTGGATTCTCAATTCCTCTAAGGTAACTCATTTGCTGGAAACATTTTATAGTCAAAGAGAAACAAAGATAAAACCATGCTAAGAAATTCATTAGCTTTTAAAGTTATACCATTACACTTTTAAGAAAATGTACTTACAAAAACTAGCCATATCTTTCATTATTGCATGGTGCCTTTTATTTTCCTAGGTTCATAAAAGGACTTAATTCTCCAAGGACTACCTGAACATACCAAAACAAATAATGCGGCTTCTAAAAGCTAGAAAATGTTGGGTTTTTTTACAGAACTATTTTAAAAGAGGCTTTTAAAATTTCACATCCTCTACGTTTCAAATTCTTTGTGCACAAAAACTTCTGTAAAGGTTCGTATGTGATGCATGGAAAGACTAATACTGAAAACCAGGGAGGAACTAGAGAATCCATTTTAGAATGGATTACTGAATCCACTAGAATAGAATACCAAAATGCAAGGCAAATTTTCTGCCTCTGACTTTTCCAAACCTCAAAGTCAACCAATCATTAATTTCCAACGAAGAAACCTCCACAGCAATTATTAATTTATACTGCCAAGCAAAGGCATGACAACTTCTGTTTTCTCATTGAAGAAAAAATTTACTTACTTTTAATTTGTGCCCAAACAGCACAGGACTGTGTTCTCACCTGAAAATGAAAACATAAAAATCACTCTTTTTCATGAGAGAAATTTATTATCACTAACACCCTCTACAAGAGCAGCCATCCGCAATACACTGTATTTTATTACAATTGGGAATGGAGTTTGATATTGCCCTGGTAACAGCCTCTAGCTTGTCTGAAAAAGATTACAAACTATTAAGATACAATTGGAGATAAAGCATTGATGAAATGCTGGCTCTAGACTTGGATCATTACTTTTCCTTTCTTTCTACAACCTAGGCATGCAAGTAACATGGAAGGATATTTCAAGGTGCTTGGGTAAGAATTCAGAATTTATAAAATGCTAAGATAAGGCTGAATATGCTGTATTAACTCTATGTCCATGTAGAATATACATGTTAAAATATGATCCTTAATGGCGTATTTTTCAAATACTAGATGTAGGGATTTCTTCAGTTATGACAACTTGCTTGGTAATTTTTAACTATTTATGCAGAATACTTACAGTAGTTAATGTTCACAGTAGTTGAATAATTGGTTACAGGGGTCTCCTTTTGCAAACTTAACAAGTTTGTTTGTTTATTTTAAGCTCTGGTCTCTGTAGAGCTTTTTACCCCCAGGGACTTCACAGTCGTACTGTAAGGTCTATTTATGTGGTGCTTCTATATGTACTTTCCTGCTAAATGACTTTCACAAAATTTCACAGAATACATACCTACACATATTTTTCATGTTTTGGCAGAATGTGTGTTATGTTGCTCTGGATAACAGTAGGTTTCTGTGAAATCGAAGGCTACATTTTGAAGCATGTGAACCAAAGGACAAAGGCACATTTGTATGCTTAATGTTACTTTTGTGTGTCTGCATGCTGAGTTGTGGAATCTCAGTGTTTCTTAAAACTCAACTTTTATAAGGAATTTTCTGGTTATTTAAAAAGACAGAACAATAACAAAGAAAATCCTCTTAAGAGAGGGAGACTAAAGAACATGAAGTGGATCTAAAAACTCAATCAAATAGCAGGTTCTGGAGGCACTGGTGTGAGTGCCATCATCTTGAAACAGCTACCTCTTCAACATACTCTGGTTTGCGGGAAATCAGTCATCTCCTGCCTATCAGAGAAGTTACAGAGCTCCCGGGCATCTCAGCAGCAAAGTTCATTGAACTGCATTATACCAGATCAAGTGATAAAATTCTGATGAAATAGCACCTTTCCAGAAAGTTATCAGTGAAATTACCCCTTCTAATACATGAATATCTATGGAACTCAAAGTCTGCATTTCAACCTGGGTATTCACAGGTAGCTAAACTGGAGGTAGAAGCTCCTTCCACAGCTGCACACTTAAAAAAATTCTGGAGAAAAGAGAAAACATTTTGCCATGCATATATACTTTTCTCAGATTATTCTTCAATTAGGCTAATTTTAACAGACTTTTCTCACAGTAGGGGTCATTTTGATTCCAATTTTCAAAACAGCTCATAGCTTTTTTCCTGAAAAGACTGTGTGTCATCTTCACCTTTCACAGTTCTGCTCTTACTTCTGTTACATGCGCAAACTGATCCAAAAAAGCTTATGCTGACACTGGACAAACGCTATGCTAAAGAAATTGATCTCAAGTAAGTATAAACTCCAAAAACTTTTTTTAGTTCTTGCCCTTCACTATAAACCTTGGGTCTCTGCACAGCACAGAATCCATAAAGCAATCACTGGAGATTAAAGTAGGAACTAGATGGCCCTGAGTTATTTAATTAGCAGTATGCTCATGGAGAAGGACATTTTCAAGAGTGGACAATCTGTTCCACTTAAGTAAGGTTTTCATGATAATGACAGTAAATTCTTGTTTGTCCCTAAATCCTCCCTTGGTCTGCATCATTCCTATATTCCAAATTCATTAATATGAAAAAAATAAATTTCTATTATTTCCCACTTCCTAACTGCTTTCCTTGTACATCCTCAAGGATGTCCTCAGGTCACCTCACCAGCCTTTTAACACATCTGAATGTCCTGCACAGATGAAATGTGCATTTTAAATTCTCCACCCTGAAAAATAAACAGAAAGTAAAAACTGCACAGCTGACACCTTTTTCAGGGTCTCCAAATCTGAGCAAGGAATAACTGTGGACTCGATAAAACGGAACAGCTTACTTGTCTTAACTGTGTCCACACAATTTTTTCTGAACTGAATTTCCCACCCTTACTACAAAGAAAATATGTCAGTTTTATTGAGGAATAATGGCAATAAAAAGTCACAGCCAAGCCATGATCTTGCAGCATATATGATACAAGTTGTACCAATCTCAGCACAACGGGGTCTGGAGCCAGGAGGTACTCTGGAGGATGCCAGAACATAAAAGTACAATATTGAAAACATCAGGTAGGAGACTATGACATATATTTCTAATGTGCCTGTATTCAAATGGAAACGTTTAAAAGTAAAATACACTACAGAAATGCCAATTTCACATGTATTAATAACTGAGTGCCAATTAAAGAGCAGACTTTTTTAAAACCATATTTTAAATATTAATTCTTGACCTCATATTCAGTTAATCAGATTTTGAGAAATTCTCAAAACCCAACAACTCTTGAGTTATAATTCTGAATTTCTTTCACTTCACAGTACCGATAACTGCACAAAATAAAAAGACTTGAGAACTGAAGATAAACCAGTACTTTTGAGCCACAGGTCTAGGTTCCATTTCAAAGAAGCAGGGAACCAAAGCTGTTTGGTATTTGCAGTCCTAATAAAGATTTATAAACGCTGCATGTCACTTTGTGTACTTCATCAAGTAACAAAAGCAATACAGCGTATATCAAGGAGCAGATGCAATCTACACAGAAGGAAATAAAAAGTTACTTCTACAAATAACAGTAGTAATATTTCATTAAATCAGTGACCTAGAAAATACATCTCACAATGCTAGAGATGAAAGATCAGGAAATAACCTTTATGAAAGAATAATGTAACTTAGAAGCAGTTTAACACACATCTGGCAAAGTTGCATAAGCAACATGCACTGTGCAAGAAAAGCCCCAACAGAAGTAACAATAGGAAATGCTCCCTAGTATCAGAACATATTGAATGAAAAGAGCTAGGCAAACCAATGTATAATACTTGAGGATACATAAACTGAGATCAAGGATGTATTTAGGAGTGCTTAAAGTGGCTAAACTTGTACACATTTGACCCATCAAGAATCCTGCTCCACAGAGTACATTCTTCTAAAAAATGGTTTGTTGTCCAAATTCCAGGATATTTTGGGCTATCTTAACATTATTTATGAAATTAATGCCTTTAAATGTCATTTTTCTACTTATTCCCTCACACAATTAAAAATTTATGACAGACTTGTATCAGGATCAGAAAACACTTTATCTGTGCTATAAAACCTTAAGACTATTGTTAAAAGTAGGTGCCACACAAAACATAGGATGTACAGATTTGTAGATACCAGTAACAGCTGTTATATATACTTGCTTTATTTCACTCACTTTGGACAGAGGCACAGTTACATTTCTTAATAGAACCTGTTTTCACTTACTGGAAATTGGATGTAGGCTTCCAAAATTGTGGAGAACTATTTACAAGTGACTCACAGAGCAGTTTTTGCATGCCTTCTGGCTTCATGCTGTATACACAAAACCCTAAAACTGCATTTTAATTTTTTTGGGTGGCAGGGTGAGGCACTGTTTACATGTTTCTTTCTTTTGTAGGGGTTGCTTTGTTCTGGTTTTATATTTAACATTCAAGAACTGCATGCACATGAAAAGCCTATCACCTGGCCCACATGAGAAAAGCTTCTCCTTGCAAAAGTATTATGAAAAAAGTATAAGTTGTTGACCCCAGACATAGATAGTGACTGGAAAAGCAGTGGCATAATGACATCATGGGAGGCAAGACACTGGAGCATGAACAGTTGAGATGCACATTTTAGAAACTTTTTGTTTCTAAATAAAATACCTATTTACTTTAAAATGAAAATAAAAAATGCTAGTAATATACTATTTTTTTCACAAGGCTTTCTCAAGGGAGCTGGAATTTATGTTCATTGCTATGCAAAGGGTACATGATACATGCTAAAATATTTGTCATTTGGAGGACTGGAATACTTTGCTATAAAACATTCAATTAAAAATTAAAATGGGTGATTTTTTCACAGCTAAGGAGTAACTTTCAGATGCTTATACTAATATCTTTCACTAAATTCTGGCCCAATAAAGACACCTTCAATTACTGAGGGCAGCGATGTCCCTTCATTTTTAATTTTTTCCATTGTTTGTCATCTGGCATCCAGAGTTGCTCCAACAATACATGACATAAATATCTGCAAGGAATTACAAGAGTTACTTATAAGAGCTTCAGATTTACTCTAATTCTGTCAACTAACAGATTCTTGCAACATCATAAAAAATTTAACACAAAGCTAACATTTTAGTCTTTTTCCTCAGTAACACTTCATTGAACAGGTGTAAAGAAAGGGTTTTAAAACATTCATTACCTTATTCCATTCACTTATTATTCTCAAAAAAACACAGTACTCCTCTCCCAGCTTTAAAGGGGCATTATAAAACTTCCCGTAGTAATGTCTGTCTCCAAGAGCAATTGACATGTTATCAGCAACATCCTTCGCCCTAAATTCAGCTGCCACGTATCCTTTAGTGTCAGTGGTGTTACTGAAGAAAGTTGAAGCAGCAAAGGAGTCACAAATAAAAGTGTTTTGCAAACCCAGAGGAAGCACAATCACTTGATAAAGACTAAAGTGAAACAAAAAAGTAAACATTAGCTCTCACTTCAACGTACTAAGCATCAGACATTCATTAATTCACATTTTTTTCTATTTCTAGATTCTTAACTGCTTTTTATTTTTGATATCCAATATAAATGCTTCTTATACTAAAATACTCCTCTGTGTATGTGTTCCATTGTGTTCTGAATCAAAAACACTGCATGCACAGCTTAGACATGGTTCTCCTCATCACAACTTTACATGCTCATTCATATTCAGAAGAGCATCAAACTGAGTTACTGCAGGCTACCTCTTGCTCCTCTCATGTAACATAAAATCACTGGCTTGCAAAAATTATTCAGCATTTCCCAGAAACAAGACTTCTTCTGTTTAAAGAAGGGTAAGACAGATATAATTTGTAAAAAATTAATCAAATCTGTCTTCAAACCTCTCAGAACAATGTTTACTCTATGGTATCCAACCATAGCAAGACTAATTATTGAGGTTGTTAGTAGTTTCCTGAAACATTACTAGCTTTCACCTATTTTCTGCTTTAGTGTAATGTTGAGTTACAATTATCTTTTTCTTCTATCACAAACAGCACTTAATAAGGTGTAAATTCTTTTTCTTTATAAATATTTTGGTAGTAATACACTAATATGAAAACATTACTTCAGAATATGCACAAATACAGACATTGTTCACCATTTCCTCTGGCTCCTAGGAAAAAAAAGTACTGACTCCATGAGTATGTTGGAAAAGAAAAATTACATGAATAGCGCTGTGCTTGGAACCATCAGTAAAAATCTACTGTGACTTCACAGTAGATAAATGAAAAAGCAAAACAAAACAAAACACAGCCGTGAAAACTCAGGATTATCAAAACCAGAATTTTGTTCCAGAAAGCAGGGAAAAGTCTGAAGCCAAATATTACTCCACTAAGGGAGGAGAAACTGGGAGTTGCAGCTTAAGTTTTCTCCCATTGCTAACAAAAGTAATCTAACCCCCACAAAAAGTACCAATATGTAAGTAACATAAATCTGCAGAAAGTTTTTTCTTGGTTTTCAAAGAGTGTGCAGAGACAAACCTGATCGGTCCATTCTGATCTTCTACTTTGCGGAGTCTGAGCAGTGGTGCAGAACCTTTTACTGCAACAAATCCTACATCTGGGAAAGGGGGATCTAAAAAGTAAACAAATACCCGAGCTTCAGAGAGGTTTTAAAAATATTTCTGGCATGAGGTTTCCTTGCTATTCCCCCCCCAAAAAACTTTCTCCCATAATTGAGCTTCAAACCCTTGATGGCTAAATTCTGCAGGCAACATAAATAGTCTGGTCAAGAAACAGAGCAAATGAGAGCATGATGGCATGGCAGTCCTAGCTCAAACCCCTGTACTGAAGTATATCTGCTAGCTAGGTAAAACAGAGATGCCCCAGAATGATAGTAGACTACAGAGAAAAGAGACAGGAAAGATCTGTTGGAAGAAGCACTATTATTTATTAGGATAACTGAAATATTCAAGGAGAAGTAAAAGATGAAACTCCTGGCTCACAGCCCACTACAAGCAATAAACCAGTATTAATAAAAGAGAACCTATTAACATCAAAAGCACTTTAAAGAAGGCAACTTCCTTAGCTATTGCTTACAGTCAGCTAACAATATCTAGCCCCTTAAACTGGATTTCAATACAGGTACAGAGCTCTAATTTGCTTTAGTGGGAATCTGCATCAAGGCCAAAACTGAACAAACACTTCTGCCTCTGATTTCAATGGGAATGATGATAGCTGCACACTGACAGAGACTGGTGCTAAGGTAATGGAAATTACCTCTATCAGCCTGGAAACAAAAACGAAAAGACCTTCAGCGTGCACAACAGAAGGGGCAGAGTGTGAAGCACGGATATTATCTAGCCCAGAAGTCCAAAAGAACTAGTACAGATAGTTATAGGTATGGCTAGGCTGTTTGAAAACTGATTTGTCAAGCTGCTGATGTGGTATCTGACTCAAGAGTAACAGATGCAATGCTTGTACATAGGAAACCAAGGCTTCAGAGCACCATTAGAAAGAATAATCGAAGTCATGGTGACAAACAAAAGCAAGACAATATAGATTTGCCAAAGTTAAGTCACAACAGGCAAGATCTTATTGAGATGCATTAATTTATAAGGGAATGTATTTCATTTTTGCTTCAGTGATTAGAAAGGAAACTCTGGAGCAGTTACTCTATATGCAGTATCTGGCCACAACAAACTTTTAAAAAAGGAAGCACCCTTCTATAAATCTAACACTTTGGAGGGAAAAAAAAGTCTGCTATGAGGTCATCATAATTTCCAGATTTAAAAATCCACATGGAAAAAAAACCTGACTTAACACCAACTAAAACAGGTGGAGGAAAAGTAGGAATGCTATGGAGAGATGAGGACTTGCAGTTGGTGGGCTGTGAAAAGAAAGCAGGATCCTCCAGTCTGTTCAGGTGCTATTCGCACCTTACCTTTGTTAAAGTTTTTTTGCTTTGTTGTGGTTTTTTTAAACTCTTAATCAGCAGAATAGACTGACATATCTGTAGCAGCACGAGGAAAATGCAGAATAACATCACAAGAAATGCAAGGATATCAAAAGATAGTCCCACTCTAAGCACTTCCTTGTCATAGCAGTGCTATGTCACTAACACTGGGACGTTTCACATGCAGGCTCATTTTCTGCAGTAAGAATTCATCTGCTGAGACTTTCTCTGAACATGAAGGCCAGCTGCAGGAAAGAAGTGCATGTCGGGAAGTGCCTACCATTGCAACAGCACAGGGAAACAGCACATGTCTCAATGCTGGAGCAAAACCCTGCCTGGTGTTATACTGCAATCAGCTCTTCAGAAAAAACTAGCACATTAGAAGCAGCACTGAAGCTGTAACTCTGCGTCAACACTGTGCTACTTACCTTTGTATATATAATGCAGGCAAGAAAGTTTTAGGTTTCCTATACACAGACATATCAAAAATGAATGCACAAATCCATTTCTATCGCACTTTTTACATATAAAACCTTTTAAACTTAATTATTTGTACCTTATTAAAAAAAGCTTTGTTTACTGACAGCATGGCCCTTCCTCATGTTGTTCTAATGATAAAGCTTTAAAAACAGTAATGGAGTTGAACCACTGAGTCCAAATCCAGATGGCCATTCTTCCCAAGTTCAGGGAAGTAAAGTCAAAGATTCCTCTCAAGTCCAAGTTCTAACTGAAAAAACCCTTTGCTGAAATAACACCATTTGCATTTTCTGCAAAAAAAGGTTTTTTTAATGCTTGTTTGAGGGCTTTATGTCTGAAAGGTTTTTTATTGAATTTTAAAACAAGAAAGTAAAAAACACTGCTCTACATTAAAAAAAAAGTAACACAGAGATGTTGATACAACAGAAAAGCTTTTTTACCATTTGTAGTACTGTCTGAAAAGTAATTAATTTTACTGTACGTGTAACAGTATAATTGCTTTAACAAAGAGAAGAGATTTTTAACCCAGAGGAAGACATTCCTACAAGAACAGAGGGAAGGAAGGAGGTTGAATAAATCAAGACCACTTCTACAGAAAATGATAATTTAAATCTTCTTTAAGATATTTATCTTAGAAGTGGAAATACTAGCAGGGTCTATCCGTGATCTTTTCATGTATCACTTTGTAGTTGAAAAGAGCTTACAATTTATTTTCCCCACCTTGTGGCCTATTCTGGTATTGGTTTTCTCCGTTTTTAATTTTATTTAATGTTAATTACAATAACTAGTTGAGGGCAAGATAAAGGTTGATGCAGATACATTGCTATACATTTGTAAAAGACTACCTGTAACAATACTGAAGAAACTCCAGTTCACACAGATAGGAAAGACTAAAAAAGCAAATAATTTTGTTCAGCATGTAAAGCACTGCCTATAAAACATCAACTGTACCACCTACATCAAGTGCATTGTAAACAGAATGATAGAAGTGATCAGGAGGATCACAGTTTATAAAAAAATTCTTGCTATGAAGAAGGTCAGAAAAACAACACAGAAGTGGAGTTCACATGAACACAAATACCATACATTTGAATAGTCTCTACATAAAAATACAATACGCCTGTGTGAACACACGTATGTGTTTTTAAGACTGGCAGCTAATTTCCACCCTACACACCTGATGCTCAGGTTTTAATCACTCCACTTTTCCCATTATATAAATCAGAAACTCTTGTCTTTGCAATACTCGTGCTATGAAGCTGCACACTGTAATGGACTGTGCTGTCAGAGTAAGAGCTGTCAGACCACCACATCTCCAACAGTCTTTAACTTCCTCATTGGAAAGTACATTTGGATTTTCCCTCCTTTTCCAGACCTTAAAGAAGTTCCTTTATGAAAGAATGAGTGTAAATATTTTCCATCATACAACAGAGCAAAACAATAATCTATCTTTTATGTGTGTGTGTACATTCAAGTGGCAGGCAAACAAATTAGACATCACAACCTGATCCATAATGTAGTACATATTTCACACACTGAGACAAAAATAAAGGGCTCTAAAAGATTATTAGTGTGTGATGGAATCAATTCTTCTAAGTCACTTTCTAGACTTGTGAGTCTGCTTTCCGACTTACATGTTCTTACAAAGAGAGCGAGGATACACCCACAAGAGTACGTGGCCTGCAGGTATATCCTGGACTAAAACAAAAAGAACAGCATCTGAGAAACATAGGAACTACTACAACTGTCTGAGGTACACAGACTCGAGGTCAAATCCACCCAAACCCACTGGAAATGCATGTGTGAACAGTAAGCACAGAACAGATTCAAAATACACCCAGATTCTAAGCAAAAAAATAAAGTGGGAGAAGAGTAATGAGAAATCACCACTGAATCCCATATTAACTATTTTACAAGAAGGAAATGTAATCTGTAATTCAGGCATATAAGACCTATTTCTAGTGTCCAGAAACTTTTCTGTCTCATAAGTATGATGTCTTAGGTCACAGTGGTCCGCTCTAAACTAAAAAAAGCTAGCCAGACACTAAGTAAGTAGGCATACACAAACTTCCCAGAGACTGCAGTTTTGTCACATCCATCTTAAAGAATCTGTCCCAAAATAAAGCTTTCAAACAAATTCAGATATCAGTAGTATTTTAATGTAGCTCAACTGAAGAAGTTACTCTTATTTAGGGTAACAGGAGAGAAAGCAAAAGCATTAGCTCTTTATTATTCAAACATTTGAAATTGGTTGTAAGATTCAGTCTTCTTAAATTCCTATGTGCAAACAGATAATTAAATTAAGAACTATGCCTTGCCTGAGCATGCCTTAAGAAATGATCTTCAAAACCAAAAAGGAACAGAGCCACGTGTAATTAGCGTAAACCCAACAGAAATAATGAATGAGAAAGCACACCCAGAATACTCCTTCCCTTCCTTGGAAACAGACACAAACTTCGTTCTTTCTTAAAAGAAAATCTTGTTACCATCTTTTTACAACTACAATATAATCTCTGCCTAATCATTTTTCATAATTGACTCAATTTCCTATCTCAAGTAGACAGCTGCTGAGAGCTTTTCTAAAATAAGCTAAGAAGACATGAAAGACTGCATGATGCCTGTTACCAGAAGCATGAAAGGAGCAGAATTTCAATGATTGATAAAGCATTTGCTGGTCTATATTTAACATCTAAAGATGATAAGCAAAACCAACTTTGTGCTCAGCACAGAACTATTTTTAAAGGATGCTACTTGCCAGGGAGAAAAGCAAGATTCTACGTCCCAAGACCTTGGTTTTGTTTTCTTTAGAAAACAAATATATCCTCATTCTGTAGATACATAAATATAGATATAAATATTCACGATTGAGAAGTAGCTTTCTTAATATGCATTTACAAATATTCCGTTTTGAAAAAAGACCCTAACTTATCGCTAGCATTTACATATTTATTGTATTGTGCAACAGTCTTTAGGAATTTACACAGATTACTACCCTTGTCAGGACATTAAGTCTGTCAGGCAGTGTTCATCCAACCACCTGGGACATGTCTCTTCACGGCAGTTAAAACTCCACAGTTAAGATTTCCTGAACTCTCAAAATGCGGGAAGTGTGTGGAAGTCAAGGAGATACATCTGTATTTGTCCCCAGCTGGGGAAACAGACCAACTGACTGCACATTTGTTAAAGGATGCCATATGAAACCTTAGACAACAAATGATGCCACCTCCAGTACATTCACAGTAAAACACTTTTGTAAGCCTCTGTGCTTAAGGCACATCTTGCATTTATACAGAACCATTTAGCCAGAAAACTACCAGAACCAAACCAACTACCACACATTTTAGCTGGTAGATAAACAGAGATCCTTCCACACACCATGGAAACGCAACTCTCTGATTCAATGACATACTTGATTATATAGTCACTGGACAAATGAAGAAGCAAATCACACCTACTCTAAAATTATAAATAGTTTTTATATAAATTACATTGCTTGTACAGATAATGTAATTCCCCAAATACGAGGCACAGAAGTCAAAGGGACACTGCTATAAGAATTATTTTTAAATGTACTCTTTTCATCTTATATAAGCTGAAATAACAAATTCAATATCTTATTTAAATTCTCATTATTTGGTGAGCGTTGCAGCTTGATCACTGTTGGATTTTTAATTTTCCCTCAATTTCAACCACAAAAAGACCTACTTTTATTTTACTACTAATGACAGAGCAACACCTACCTTTTATGGCTCACTGAAAAAAGTAACAACTAGATATAACACTTGTGTAGCAGGATCTTCTTTTAAAATGGAAATTACCTCACTTTTACACGAAGACCTTTTCTGGAGTCATGCATGTGCATTTGTTATGCACTAGCTCAGTGAAGAGGGAAACATGCCAACTGCCAAGGCACAAATATCACTTAACACAGCATCTGCTACAAAGTGTTCTCTAGAGCTCTTCTGTGTAAGTGATCTGATGCAATCCTGCAGAATTAGGAAATACCACAGGATGACAGAGTGAAGAGCTATGCCTTTACTCTGAGTATGTATTTCAAAATTATCTCAATCAAATTCTGAGTCAATTTATTTGTTTTTACAAAGCTACATGTACACATGAACTCATGGATGCTACTTCTGAGTGACAGCTAGGAAACTTCTGAGAATTAATTACCAAATCATGACTGTAATTTTATTTTAAAAAAAGAAATCCAAGTCATTGTATATCCTAAACAGCAGCTTTAGGCAACAAGAGATATTTTGCCTTTCATGAAGCTTAAAAACCTTAGATTTACTATTAAAAATACTGTAATACTATCAATTTCAAAATATGCCACAAATTCCCAGTTCTTTATAAGCAGTCAGAAGAGAACTGGTTCCATCTAGTGGCAGAATAGAGTTACAGACACAGACAGCATTCGTGTTTCTTACCTATTCCAATTCGTGGCGAGAAGAACGTTACCAGCACCAAACAGTGCCCTTCACAGTGTATCAGTAATAACCTAATACAGAAAGTCTGAGAGTACAGGGATAGTGCAAAACTTTTCTAAACAAAAAAAATGAGCTAAAAAATGGCAGATTATTTTTATCACAGTTTTTCAGTACCATATAAATACCTTGCTAAACAGTGAAGTGAATAGTGACTCTCCCTACAGAATCTTATTTGCTCAAATGCCTTTTCTGTTTTGTACTCTAGCAATTAGAAGGTATCTGTCTGATGACAGTACCTGCCTGAGGTACTTGCAGGACTTTTTGTACTCTGGATCCTTGCAGACTTCAGTGACATCTGTTGTCACAAATACTCATATGAAGTGCAGTTGTGCTATCACCTCCACTTCATAGTGGAGAGAACTCATACTGAAAAAGTGACTTAGCCTCTAATAGGGCAGGGAATTTAACACAGCTTATGAAATCTGTGAAAACAACCAACACTGAATAATTCTGAGCATGGAAAGAGCATTTCAACAACCCAGCATACAACACTGATATCAACAATGCTGTTTTCACTTGAGTGTCTTGCACTCAGTAGGTGCTTTTGTAAATACATAAAATAAATGGCAGGACCTACCTGTGATTTGTGTTGACATGGAAACGAGTAGTGAAAAATTCAAAGCTACCATGGAAATATTAATAGAGTAATTGGTGCCTGGCTGCAAATCAAAACAAACTTCTGGAGCCTGCTTGTGTGTAGTAAGGCTGAAGGTCATTTCATGAAAGAACTCCATCTGATACCAACGCTGGCCTTGCACATGAAACTGTAACCAAACAATCACGGTATGGAAATTGCAATGTTTTAATATATCACTTGCATTTAGTCATGTCATGCTCTAAGTCAGAAGAAATAGCAGAAAAAAACATCACTGCTTACAGAATGACAAAAATGCTGGCAATTCAAATGCTTCAAAAATTTGATGACAATCGCAGTCTATCTTGATCAGCTCTGGCATTGTCCTAGTTTTTTCATTTCTCCTCCTCCTAGTCTATCCTCTTTTGTATTAGTACTGTAATCTCCCCCAAGTCTTCATTTCCTGCAAACATATAGGCCTCCAGTAATTGCAGACTTTCATTACAGTATGTCCTCATGTGCAAAGTGATGAGTTATAAAAGTAAGCTCACATGAACACCTCCTTGGTTTGTTTTCAAGGATCAAGTCAAAATCAAGTAATTTTGACCTATCTCAGCTATGTGTTCAAGCAAATTTACACAACCATGGCTTTTATTTGTTTGCTTCAGTTGGATTTATTGTGTGTTTGGTTTGTTGTTGATGTTCCAAATTATCATGAAGTTACTAACTTAAGGACTCTCCTGATCATTCTTCTGCTAATGAAAACTAAAATGCTGCTTGTATTTTAATCATATGCTAATTTTCCTTCAAATAGACCCTATGCTTTTAGATAATCTCTGAGCAACTCTTAACACATGGAGATTTGAGACAAGAGCAGGCAGTCAAGAGTCCTGAGAGAGACAGCTCATATAGAAATGCCCTGCTGAGATGAGGGAAGATGGAAGGCCTATCACAAGGCTAAACGTGACAAAGTTGAAAGTACAGGTAGGGAGTGCAAAACAAAGCAGAACAAAGGAAAAAATAAGCAAGAAACAGGAGACTACAAAATACCATGCTGGTTTCTTTCTTTTTTTGAAGGTTGCTATGCAGGCTTACTCCCTGTTTTTTATGGGAGATATTATTAGAATGAGGAACACTGCTAGCAGTGAGTGTTTGAAAAATTACAGTTTTTTTCATGTAAGTGATTTATATAAATTGTTTTCTAGATTCAAAATACAGACTGTCACTTACTGAGTATCTGTCTTCCACATCAGTTCCCCTGACATTTCTCCGCCATTTCAAGCAGGTATCATTAAAAATTAATACATCACTGAAAGCTTCCTTTACTGTGGAGACAATAAAAAAGAGAACAACTAATTACAAAAACGTCACCTTCTTCAATTTGAGTAGCTGAAAATAATAAAAAAAAGGTTTTGTTTTAATTCTCTTCTGAGAAGGAGGTAGAATCTCATTTCCTTTTGAATGAACAAATACAACAAATAAAGCACAAATATTTTTCAGAGAAAACGGCTTTTGGAAAAACCCATGCACGCTATTCAGGAAATCATGATAGGATTTATTTGTTCTATGTATAGGACAGAAGCCAGAAGAAATTTTATCTAGGGAGGTTATGACAGAAAGATCCTGAGGTTCAGACCTTCAGATGAAAATAAAGTTACCACAGAACAATTTGTCATAGTTTATGCTCTTTGGGAAAAAGCACACGAGAAAAACAATTTTTGCGGATTCCAAAGGCAATCTTTTCTCAAGGTCTGTCTCAACATTACATCAGAATGTAAGCTTCAAGTTTCTATGACCAAAATACTACAGGAAATTACTGTTAGAACATGTTTTCTCTAAAATTACTGAAAAACTGCCTGAACACTGCTCATCAGTGATAAACACAGGAACGTCATCTACAATGCTCACACTACTTAGATTAATATCCACAGCTCAGCAACAGGGAATTCTCCCACAGGCAGAGAAACAGTTTCAAGGCAAGGAGCGGAAACGAGTAAGCACTATACCACGCACTGAAATTTCAGCATGTAGCCAGAAATGCCACTGCACCAATCCTGCCTTAGCCAGAAGACAAATCCTGAAGAAGCAAGTTTGCCACATCTTTCTGAAGGGCACTTAATTGCCACTGCTCTGTTTGCTTACAGATTCAACAGCCACAGTGAGCAGGAAGACAAACATCTGACAGAAAAAGAGGATGCTGATGGTGGCTACACGTGTGTAGTCAGTGTAAAGAATGATACAGTCTAGGAGACAGCCTGTTACCCTGTCTGCTAGACTCAAAAACAGTGAATTCTGCAGCACAGTAAGTTCTTCTACAAGCACAGGGAATAGAAACCACAACATACCCTTTGTTTGAACTGCCACTGTAACTGAGACAGCGATGTTTGTGGAAGAGATGGTAGTAATATTCACCACGTAGTCACTGCCAGAGTTGAGATCTAAACACACCTTGGGATTATCTTCACTTGTAGTGATGTTAAATCTCATATCTTCTGAAAAGGTCTTCTCATCCCATCTTTGGCCCAGTATATGAAACTATTGAAATATTAATAAAAATGACGGAGCAATTGGTCGTAGCTCTCCAAAATTCAGAACACTAGTTCAATTAAGCCTTGAGAACACAGGATTACATCTGTTTTAGTATATCAACTCAATTAAAAAAATAGGCTTGTGACTAATATTTTGGTGTAATGAGGTGGCTTAATAAATTAGATCTTTAATTTATTCTAGCTGTTGAAATTATGAATATTTTTTCATTCACTTCTACAATGAATAGAAGGAATCTGTAACAGGGACCCTAGAAACATCTCTAACATAAACAGTAAGGTGTAAATAAATTTTCTTGTTTACAGCACACAGATGGAAACTCCATCTGCTTGCTACTTTCTTTTCTTTTTTATAGTTTCCTCTCCTTGCCCTACAGAAGCAGTATTAAGACTGAATGTTCAACAATAGTAAAAGACAAGCCTCCCTAAGATCATCCCAGTGCAATGAAAAAGAAACCTGCTGTTTACATGAGATGAAGGGACAGACAAAACTTAGGTAGTTGAGCTCATGGCAGTCCAGAGTGTTCTGAACTCTACTGCATGCAACCTATACCTACATCATCCTCAGTTCTGACTATTCTGAAGTGTCTTGCAGATAGCTGAATTCAGGCAAAAGCATATGCACAGAGCACATTACATCAAGCATCTACAGCATGCCAGTAACTGAGTACATGAAAAGCACCGGTTTTGAACTGTTAGGGTAACTGGGAACTGTTTTTTTCCATCTCAGCAGTCCTCAATAAAAGCACTCAAAGCAAAAAATATTTTGGTTTGAAACACAGGAAGAGAGACAAGTTGTTTTCCAAAACTATCACCCAAACTTGAAAGGCATTTTCCACATTAACCTTGCCACCCCGGAGATCTTAAAATAATCCCTTTTTTCTTTTTTCCATGTTTGTACATGCTGAAAGAAACAACCTTTCTTGCAATGCCATCATTCTCAAACTATGGGAATTCTTATCATGTTGTTTTGGCTTTCAATAACATTCACTGAGCTATTTGTTTCTGAGAATCTGTATCTTAGCTTTTATTTTTACATTTACAGATGGCAAAAAAGTAGTTATCAAGGTTGCTTTCAACTTCCATGGGAAACAGTTCTAAAATGTTCAAATACAAGATGATTGAATCTCTTGAGCAAGGCACAGTATTTCAATATACCTTGCATTTCCAAAACAAGTTACATCCAGTATCTGTAAGTGATACACTGTTTGCCTGAAATGTCTGCATCACAGACAGGGACAGAGCCCAGGTTTTGCAACATTTCCCATGTGAAGGTGACCCTGAGCTCTACAAGGGAATTTCACTAAACATAAACTTGTGCTGAAATGCTTCCTATAGTTTCAAGCAGATGTTTAGGTGATTTTGTGGAATGAGACCTCAACAGCTTTTGAGATTTTCATCTAACTTTAGGACAGGGATTTGTTTCTTTCGTAACCCAGCCAGCTTTAGGTTTTTAGGCAGTGCACTGGGAAATGCCAAATTACCCTACAAAACCCACAAACAAATCTCCACTGCTGACTCACCAGAATTAACCAAGACAGAGCTACTCAAAATCACAAATGCTCCCTCACTTACCGTGTAGGTTTCCTGCACTCCCAGTCTTCCAGTTTTCCTTTGCCACTTCACACACGTTTCATTGAATATGGACACATTACTGAGTAACTGCTCCTCTGTGAGCAAAAATATGAACACAGAATTAAAACAGTTATTGTTTCTCATGCAAATCTTAACATGCTTGGAGCAATTGTTCTTTTTTTTCCTTTTTTTTCTGTTGGTTTTGTTTTTTTTCAAACAGAAAAAATAAAACAAGGTAGGCAGAAGTTAGGTAGTAAGTTCTCCCTTAACTCTTAAGCTCCCAAAACTACAATACAAGGCTAACTGAAGAAGTATGTTCTAAGCTAGTGACGGTGAAGTCCTTAAACACATGGCCAGCACTACATAAACTACGATAACTAATCAAAACAAAATACTTTGCTAGGGTTGCATTTTTAATGTAGAACAATTTTAATTCTAATGACTTTACAGATCTTGAAGAGGAAATTAAAACTACATTACAGTTTCCTGACAGCAAAGGAACAAGCTCATTAACACCATCAGACTGCTGATAAGTTCTGATATATAAAAGCACACGTATCCAACAGCTTATACACATCCTTCTTACACAGGGAACGTCAGCATATACTGTACTAAATACTAGAATCTTTCATACCAGGTGACCGATCCAGACAAAAAAAGGCAATGAGAAAAGACATTTTGCTATGCTTCAGGTGTTCTTCCTATTCATAATACATTTATTCTGTACCATGTACAGGTATTCCTGTATTTCTGGTCAAAGTCTTTCACGACAGTGTGCTTATGACAGTATTACACCACCAAAAATGAAGAGCAATAAACGATGCCCCAGTTACACTACTTCTGCCACCCGTTCTCTATTCTCCTTGAACTTGGATGCCAGCATCTGGATCTTGTGACATGCAATGGTCTGTGTGCTAAAGAATACCCACTCAAATCAACTTGAAGACTTTGTAGATCACTGGATGTCATGGATTAGAAACCTCATTAAACTGTAAACAAAAAAGTCAAGCAGACTTAAAAGAGCTGTCTATTAAGAAAAAGAGGCTACCAACAAGCCAACAAACTTAGAAAGAAATGCTCTTCTGAATACAACAACCTAAATTAAAGCATTTTAAGAAAGCTTCTGTGCTAGACTGGAAGCTGAATGAATGTTTTGGTTCATCATTTGTTTGGGCTGCTTTTTAAAAGTTGCCAACATTTCTCCTTGTTCTGTAATAAATAAAATTAAATTAAATAACACATCCACAGTAAAACACTTTTCAAAATGAACACTTGACGAAAAGAATGAAGCCCACAGAACTAAGCATGTAGGCAGTACAGCTGTAGCAACCAGCGACACATCCCTCAACATACCCGTGATACACACTTAAGAGTTGTCTTATGCCTCAGAGAAAAAGCACAGCCAGGAAGATCAACTCATCCCTTCATTTTTTGAGGCAGCTCTCTAGACTGCTGCCATCAGACAGAGCAGTTGCCTTCACATGCATTATCTTCACAAGATAATGAAATATCCATCCCAGAGCTAAGAGCAAAGCTCTTTCTGGTCACAACTCAGATTGACAGTGAATGTATTTGCTCCTCTTTTTTCCTTCAAGAGCCTTCAAATAGTCATTCCCTTGTCCTATTAATGTATTTTCTTATTACATAACCAAGAAATAAAAATCCAAGCTCAGATAGATTCTAAGCTGAAAAGCCCTTACTAGCTGCTGAAAAGAAGTGAAGGGCATCTACAGGACAGCCTGGGTAAATATTTCAGAAACATCCACATCATAGTTGGTATAGTACCCTGCTGTAAAAGCAAGCATAGCTCAGGGCACTCTTCCTCCGTATGTAAACTTCCTTACCATTTCACAGGGACTCTCTTGTAGCACATGGACTGTCACTGAAATAAATGAACATATTGATAGTCTCTAAAATTCCTACATGCGGGGAGTTATTCAGAACTAAAGTGTAACTGTTTATGTATTTTGCAACACTTTAATTTCTTTTTTCTTTCCTTTTTTATTATTAAACCATCATAAAATTGTTTTCTAATGATACCTCCCTCTCCATATATTCAACAAATAGATACCTCATTCACGATACCAGTTTATCTCCCAACTAATTTTAAGTCCCCCACTCCAAACTGCTGTTAAAAACCGAAATATTATTGAAAGGCTCCTCTTCTACAAAACAGAAGAAAAAGAGATTAATCTACACGTTCTCTAAAACAAATCCTCTTACGAAAGGCTGTGTGATTAATTGTAATTAAATGCTGCTTATTGTTATCTGTTTCAAAGTAGTATCTAGAAACTCCACAGTATTAAGACTTCTGGACGAACACAGAGCAAAAAAAGCATGTACAGCTGTTGTATTCTTCAATTCAGATACATTTTTACTAAAAGACCAGATGGCCAAAATTCCTCATTACAGCGCAGTCAGAAAATGTTTGCATACCCATGAAATCTGAATTACAATGCATAACAAGAAAGGAGGGGGGGAAAAAGTAATCTCTGAGACTCCTCAGCAAGAAAATCAAGCATTTGATTCATGAGTTTATAAAATACTCAGTAAAAAATAAGCAAAACAAAGCAGCAAACAACAAAAAAGTGATTATGCCACATATTCATGCAAGGAAAGAAATCTTATATAGAGGCCTCCTTGGAAGTAAGAAGGCAGAACTAGTAGCATTTTTTCTGTAACCACAGCAATTTTTCTGTCATGCTTTCTAAACTTCCAGGACAAGCCATCATGCAATTCCCACACATCCACAGAATAGCTGGCAGACTTTTTCCTCAAAAGTTTCCACTCTAAATGGATAAGAGCGAAATAGGGTGGAGAGAGTGAACACCACAGCAAAGTCCTGGGCTTCTGGAGGAAAATTCTCTTCCTCCCTTTCTCATCACACATTCTTTGTTTCTGTAAACAAATGTACAATAAATGCCTGGTTTACCTTTAATCCCACTAGCACAAACACCAGAACTAACATTAGCACAAAGCTATCTCTGAGAAAAACATTCTCACACCTGCAGAAAACAAGCTCCCTGACAGTTCTCCTGTGAACTCTAACGGTGCCAGTGACTTTCAGACCTTAGGAACTCCCAACGTGAAATGCACGATATGAGCCTGGCCTCAGTGTGATGCCTTAGCAGACAGGGGCATGCAGGTCTTCAACGCATCTGATTTTCACTCGGCTTTCACAACAGCTTTCACTCAGATTCACAGATAAGATGAGAGAAGTGAAGACCCTCAATCGCTGCATACTTCAGCACTACAAATTTCAATCTGTCATTAACCGGGAAGGCCACTGGATGGCACTGCTGCTCCACTAACCTCCAGGTTACCTTCTCAATCTCCTTCCCACTCCAAGGAAAAGCATCCTAAAAAACGACATGCAAATACCTGGAGACCAGAGCAGAAGGGTGGAAAAAGATCCTGGAGGAGTCAAATGCTGAAAGGCAAATCTGGGAGAGGGTAGAGAGACACATCATCACCTGGATGTCAGCTGCCAGAAAAGACAGGTGCTGGTGAACGCAATACAAACAGGAGAACACAAAAAGCAAGAAACAAAGTGATACAACAGTGCAAATAAGCATTGGAGGGGGAGAAATCATGGTAAGAAACCCAAATAAATTAATTCTAAGAAGAAAAACAAGGAGTGAAGGTCTCAGTACTCCTTATTCCACTTTTAAAATAGCTGCTAGGAAGAAGGGCCTAACTCTGTGCTTGAGTGTGTGGGAAAATCTTCACAGTAATTATAGCCAGTGCATAAGTGCTTGTTTTCTCACACTCTTCGGCCTTAACCCTGTGCTGTGAGCACCAACCTTAATCCTTCGTTTATCAGCCTCTGTGAATTCAGGTCCCAGTACTTAGTGTTGTTATTTGCTGATTCAGAACACAACCATAACATATAGATAACTCTTAAGTCTAAACAGTTACTAAAACCAAAACTTCTTCCACATACACAATCCAGTAGTCCTCAGTTGAAAGAACACTTGATTACCACTGACTTCAGCTCAAGATAAATCTTATCAGTGAAGTACTTTTGAACTTGCATGAAAATATGGTATTTACCAGAAAGTAGATGGCTACAATTTTCTGCAAGTAGCCAAAAGAGCATCCATGTGTGCAAATTCACTTACGGAGCTATTCTCACCAAACCCCCCACACACATGCAATTTGGGAGAAAGAACAAACCCGAACACTAGTGGGTTTTTTATATGTTTTGCCTGTTCAATCCTGTGAAAAATGTGAATTATGCTGCAAAAGCCATCTGCTACTAATATGCACCACACATACATTCAGATACAGAAATAAAATGAGAACAAACAACGTTTCAAAGAGATCTGCTGCTCAGACTGTTTCAAGGCACCTGCTCCACAGCATAGAGGTAAACTCCTCTTGCATGGTAGGTTTTGCAACTATATATGGCTTTTACATTTCAAAGACTTATCTCAGTATTTATACATTTTAGGGTAGCATGGTACATTTTTTGCAGTTTTTCAAATTTCAGAGTAACATAATTGCTTCCAGTTTAACCAGCATTGCAAAATTTCAGCAGGTTTTCACCTTCAATCTAAAACTTCACACAGAGGAAATCCACAAAGCTGTAGGCAGAGACAGTCATGCAGGAAGAAGCAGACAGACAGCTAATGATTTACTACCTCCTTTGGTCTAAAAATGTTACTGGGAGACAATCAGGAGCAGAGTAAATCATGTATTGAACCAGACTGACAAAAACATGAGAGATGTAGTTGCGAGTGTAGTTACAAAGGAAAGATGTATCAAACAAGGGTGTCAGACTAGATGGGATTAGATGGGCTGGGGTTAGAAATGCACATGATCTACTCCCCAGCTGAAAGAGGCTCTGAGACTGGTATCTGCCATCACAAACTGGGTAATTATTAGTTCAGTTTCAACCAAACAAAAGCCTAAATAGCCCTGCAAAAAGCTACACCTTTTTTTTATCTGTCACTGGGTTGCATCACTTTGATCTAAGAAGTAGCATCTCCCATAACATAGGCTCCACCAGTATTTTTCTAGGCAATTAAAGAAATTACCAAATTACCAGATGTCTGGATTTAACATATCAAATTAGGCCTTTACAAGAACTCAGGCCAATCAGATCCTTTTCACTGATGACTACAATTATCCTAATTGTTACATAGGATTCTTACTCCTACAAAACCATGGGTTTTAATCAATGCCAACAGATGTGAATGATACCTTTTCTATTAGGCTCATAACTGCTGACATGAATTATTTACACATGAATGGGAATAAAAGTTAGGGGAGTGAAAGTTAACCCATGAGCTGTTGTGTAGAAATTATGGACACTGCCACCACAGAACATCCCAGCTGCCCTTCTGTGTCATCTCTTATTGTACAAGTCAGAATGTAAAAACTGACATCCCAGAGAATTCTAGCTAGAAGGGAAATCACTCATAGAGAACAGGACAAAGCAAAAGAGAAGAAGGGAAAGTGAAAGCTTAGGGAAAACAACTCTGGATTTTTAAAAAAAGTAACTAGACCCTCTCAGTTGCAAGGAAATTATCTTTGCTATGGGTTTACAGTTAAATGACACCTGAAGGATGATCCTGCTCTGTTTATTCCAGACTAGATTTCAATTTTGTTTCTGATACTTTTTCAAGGGTTTTTTTGCATTATTCTTTTCCTCTTCTGCAATGTTTTAAAGTGCACAGTGTGGACAATCTGCTATGCCTTCTCTGGACTAATTCATCAAGCTGCTTTTCCTTCCAAACCTTCAAATCTCTGAGGCATGTATTTGGTAAGTATCCTCCATCCTCCCAGCTCTTAGGATTTTCAGTGCTGGTATACAACATAAATTTTCTGTGAAACGGCTCAAAACCAACTAGCACCCATTTCTCTTGATGCTTTGAAGGAACTCCTCACTGCCATAATACCCAAGTTTCACTTGATTATTTCAACAAACTCTCCAGAGGTCAAGACATGCAACTAAACTCTACTTGTGGAAAAAATTAAGCACTCTGAAACAGGGAATTAATCTTTAGTGAAAGACAAACAGTTCACATTGCATTTAGTTACAGTTAACATAAAAAAGAGCATGCACTCAAAAGGTTATAACATAGAAGCTCCAAGCTCAGGAACAGACAGAAGGTGCATTGAAGTGAAGAATTATTTTTTCCCTATTTGAGTTGCAGGTTTACAACACATTGGGACTGGATCACCTTTTTCTTTACACATCATGCATGAGAAGCCTATGATTTGCTGACAGCCTTTACTGCCTAGCACTACTTTGGAAGGCTCTCACAAATGACGACAACTGAGATTGCTGTGCTGTCAGATTCAGCATTAAAGGGACAGAGAGGTCAATTTACCCTTTTGACTACAACAGCTGTTTCCCACTGCCTGAGCTATGAAATGCTTTACCAATAATGTGCATCATACACTATGCCTTTTGTGCTTGAAGCGACCCCTTCGTAACTGTGAAGAAGACTGGAAAAAGTACTGAAAAAAGTTCTGGTGTGAAGAACAAGACAACACTGTAAGCATCCTATTCACCATAATTCATCTTCACTTTCCCTGGATACTCAAGAAATAAGTTCTCAAAAGTCAAAGACTGTTTGTGTGTGTGTGTGTGTATCTGTGTACATGTATGCACATACACCATCTACACATATTACAAGGCAAAAAGATTTTACTTTAGCATCTATGTTAGCCCTTTCTGACCTTTTACCACCAAACATCTGTATCCAAGCTCAATGAAAGACAAAACTAACTCAATGTACACATTTTCATTTCAGACACCGTTCAGTTCCTCTCTCTGTCCTTCTCAAAATGATACTCTTCATGGACTTGGTAATGGCTTACGATATCAATTGCACACTGTGTCATCTTCAACAGCAGATTTAGGAACCAGCATCTTACATAGATAATCAAGGCACAAATCACCTTTTTTATAGCCTTCTTATAGCCATGCTAAATAATTAAAACTTTATTTGTGGAATCCACTCAAAAAGGAAAACATGTACAGGATGTCCAGATTCATCCACTGAACATACTGGACAGCAGTATTTAATTGCTGGCATGTTCTCTGCACTTTAGTCTCTTCAATTTACGTATACTAATCAAGAGTTGGGAAAGTAAGACTGTAATCCACCTGACTGCTGCCAGACTTCACTGTTGACAGCTTAATCCAGTCAGCATGTCCCAGTAAAATTCATTTCATTAAGCAATTTTTTAAATATTCAGACTATCTACTATCAAATTTACTTACATATACACACACACACCTTATATATACCCTAACAGACAATGCAAATAAAGAGCATTCCATAGCAATCACTGCCTAAGAAATGAAGAAGTGAATATTTGCCAAAGAAAACATGCTCAGGGGAAATCATTAAACTTCCTTACTTCTAGTGATGTTTTTAAGGCAGTAGGAAAAGACAAACTTTCTGACTTCTATCATAAATTATTTTGGAATTCTACACAATTTTCTTTCATTTTAATGCGAATTACTGATTAATTATGGACACCCTTAAGATCATATACATCCGTGAGTATTCACAGTGAATGCTCAAGACATTAAGCGAGGCAAGAGAGGCACCAAGTGGCAACTCACTGTGTAAAGGCTTGGTCTGTGAAATGGCAGCAAAGACACGCTTCCAGTCCATTTGAAAAATATGTGGATGCTATAAAGGTACAGGAGCATTACCATCTGCAGAAGACAGCACCGCTACTTAAAAACAAGAGATGGACAGTTGTAAAGCTCTCTGATGACACCTCTTTCTAAAGACACAGAAGAACACTTAAGGAGCACAACCACCACAGCCCAAAACATACACTATTTTTTTGCTATTATTAAAATGTCAGTGCATCCTTCTTCCAAGCCCCCAGTAAGACAACACCTTCATTACAAATCTCCTTTCTCAGGGCTCATTCTTTTTATAAGAAAAATTTTCAGGACTGAAATTCAGACAACTAGATCTGAAAAGGCACCCACAAACAGATTTTACTTTGGGCATTATAAGAGGAGAAAAAAAAAGAAAGAAGACTTTTGAATTCCATTGTCCCTACTTTCATCGCAGAGCACTTTACACTTCGGGTATTAGGCTCACAACAAAATACCGTTTGATGACTTCTGCTCATCTGGCGAAATTCTTGAGGCTTTTAAAGCTCCAACAAAGTGCTGCAATGAAATTCTAGTTGTGTTAGTCTCTGTTTGAAATAAAAAGCAAGACAGCTACAGAAAGATTTATGGCATCCACTAGAAACTGTTGCATGATTAACATTCTCTTCCATGACCGTTCCATCAAAAAGTACCACCACATTCCCTACATCATAAATTAGAAAGGGATTTCTTGCCTTCATCCTTCCTCCTGTTCCTACCTTCAGAACAGGAATGAGAAACTATTTAGATAACACACCACACTGCAACTTCCTACAGTAATATTTACCTCTGCATATGTATGTCATATTCTCCCATGACCGATATATTGTGCATTCTGAAAAATTCCTGTCTCCGCTAAAATAATATCCTTCTTCACACTGATAGTACACTCTGCTCCGTAGAGTGGTTGAGTTGTTCCAGATAATTTCCGCGTGTGGAATCAGCAAAGGTTTGCCACAGTCTATCTCTGAAACAGAAAAAACAGGATAACAAAACCTGAAAACTAAAATAGGCAAGGCATATCAAAAGTGTTAAAGGAAGAAAGATTAACTGTCCCAGCAAGTAACACCTCACTTTTGTTCACTTCTCCGTGACTTCTAGAAGTCAGGCCAGCCCTTTAGGACCCAGAATTTGGTGACTGGAGACTTTCTAGCAGGGTGGAACATTTATCTTTCAAGATGAAACATAAAACAAAACAGTGTCCTGTTTAGAAATGGAGAACAAGGATCTCTAAGCAAATTTTTAAAAATGCATTTGTCTTCCCACAACAGCCTCTTACCTCCCACATACTATTTATTCCTTTATTTTAACTATCATTAGTAACGATAGATCTGAAAAACAACACATGGTCCAAGGAGTGACATGGAAGAACAGCATCAAGAAAGTTACATACCTTTGCTACTGAATTTACTTCAAGCTTTTGGGAAAAAAAAAAGAGAGAAAAATAAGAAAGAAAGAACAAAGTAAGAAAAAAAAGAAGAAAAAAAGAAAGAAGGAGAAAAGAAGAAAGAAAGAAAAAAGAAAAGAAGAAGAAAGAAGAAAAAACAAAAGAAGAAGAAGAAAAAAGCAACACTGCTACAGACAAAGCAGAAAGCAATTCCGGGTGAAAAGCTGATGGATTTTTCAGACCTAGAGAATTAGAAAGCTGTAGTAATGCACTTACAAGTCAATTCATTTGATCAGTTGTTTTCAATTTGTTTCAATAAAATCAGGGAACAAAAAAAGAATAGAGTGAAGATCAAATCAATGGAAGGATATTACTTAGCATTAAAATTCCCTTTCAAATTCACAATGAACTTTGCACTCCAATAAAACATTCTGCACCACTTCACTTACAAGAAGTAAAAAATGTTAGGGAATTAAAATAGTACCTTCACTAATGCTTATATGTGCAAATTTATTTTAAAAGTTTAAAAAATAATCTTAAACAATTCTGAAATTCTACTCAAAAAAACAAAAGTAAAAAAAAAAGTTTATAGAAACATGATCTGTACAACCTTTAAAGGAGAAGTTAAACATATCTATTGCAATGGGAAATATATCCACTACAATGATTACCTTTCTTTTCAAATTGCACTGTATATGAATGTGTGTATCTATGAAAAATTATCAGAACAATCTTTAGGATAATGAATGCACATGCAAAGAACATGCTGAACCTTAAGAAGGAGAGTATGTGATGAGGTACAAAAATTACTGCTGCTTAACTTTCTACCTGTCTACCCACGGCCATCTTATAATCTGATTGAAAAGCACAAATGCAGACATTTCTGTGTAACAGAGTGAACCTTCTGTTTAGATTGGTGGGCCAGAATATTAATACTGAAGAAGATTCTAAAACTAGAGAGTGGTTGTAACATATGCATCACACACTAAAGAAATTACATTCGATTACAATGAACAGAAAACTCAACTCTGCCAGACCAAGCTGAAAAGATATTATCATCCAGTGAATGGAGAAGTGAAGTTGGGCCAATGGAAAAACTGCCTAAAGACTGTAATTAACGTGAGGTCACATTAATATGAGCTCATAATAAAAATACACTGGGGATTTTGTTGGGCAAAATGCTTTTTTTCAATGCATCTTTGTGTTTTCTCTTTATCAAGGAACTTGTTAGGCTACCTTCTTTCAAATCACAGTAACAAAAGGGATTTGACTTATGTCAAATAACAATAGCATGCTTGAGCAATCATAATTCGCAACTGCAAACTGTTCAAATACGGGAATTTTAAGGGGACGCTAACTGCTAATACTGGTTCAATTTCTGACGAGTGGCTTCAACCACAGAGTAGATACAAAGCTAGAAAAATGGCAGCAATTTAGGCTGAATTTTCATCTCATGGTAATCCCAATGCCTGACATGCATTGGGATTTCATCCTTAGAATGTCAACTTTTAACAATTTGTTGCAACTTCATTAGCAACACAGATAAAAATACCCCTGTTTAATATATGGCTTTTGTTTTGTGACCGAACTTCATATGCCAGAAAAGTGTATAACCGAAAAGCTCAAAGAGGATGTCTCTAACTGAGGACTGCTATTAATTATGGTGGCTTCAACAGTATCTATGCTAGATAAATCTGAAGGGAAATTACATTAACCTTTGCACACCAAATCAGCACCATGCCACTGTCCTTTGGCATTGCAGACTGTAGTCTGATTGCCACTTGCAATAAAGGAACCAAGAGCACAACTGTAAGTAACTTCACTTCCATATGTGTTCCCACTTTCAGATGCTGGATGTGCATTTAAAACAGAAGGTGGAACTCCACAATCCACACCTAAGAAGAGGAACAAAAAGGAAGGTAAACTTGTTAGTCAAGCAGCCAAAGTGATGATGGCTGCACTCCCATGAGTATTTCTTTCACTGTTATCAAATAACCCACTTCTGTGGTGATCCAGCAGTTCCTCATGTCCCCTGTGACAACCCCACCATAACCGAGAGTGCTGTAGCTACTCCAGAGCTGCTTCCAAATAAAATTACTTCTCTCTGCCTTTCTCTCAGTATGCCACAATAAATCCATGATTCCTTCCTCAGCCTAGCTGCTAGCATACAGAAAATGCCCTGTTTTATTTTAATCTTTAAGATTCTCCTCCTTTTACAAAGGCAGCAAGCTGGTTCTATGTTATTTGCAGTCAGTAATGGAGAGGCAGACGAGTAGAAACTGCCTTTAGGAAGCGGGATTTTTAAAAGTGCACAAGGATGAGAGAAACACAAAACCAGAGAAAAGGTTACAACATACGGTACAAAAAGCTTCCTGTTAAAGCAAGAGCCTACATGGTGTTCAGAATGCATTGCAATAGCTGCTCTGTTCACAAACATGCCAAGTTGTCATTTACAGTCACACAGCACGAAAAGCAATTTGTTTGATATAATGTCCATCTTCTAAGGTAAGCAACCATCTAAAAGGCTTTCATGTTAGCCTGACACAACACTCATATTCAGCAGTTTAACTACATCTCTTCACATACATCTGACTTTTCAAGACAACTGTTTCATTAACATTCAAGGGAAAATATGTTCTTCAAGAAAGATTACATCCATATACTTATATTTAAATAATAATAATAATAAAGGGATCTGCTCCACCTACAGTACTTCGACGTTAGGTCACATATTACCAAGTCTGACCTACCTTCAATGACCAGTTTCACCATAACTGCATAAAATAAACTCTTAAACTACCATAGGAAGGACGATAAAAGACAAATTTACATTCTTTTTGAAAAAGAATACATTACATCTGGTCAGAAGAAATTATTAAATTAACAATAAATACTTATTAGGGAAACTCTCAGAGTTTAAAGAATTATTTAAGCATGCCTTTACTAATATTAAAACAAAAATCAGACTTGCTGATTTTACAAAAAGAGTAGTCCTCACTGAAATCCAGGAAAACAGAGAAATGAGTTCATCATTTCAGACTCATGGGCTGTTTCTTGGCATTGGATATATTTTATCTCAATTAACAGGTGTGCTCAGAAACGCCAACCTGACCTACTGTTTGACTGTAAAAAATAAACAAAAAAAACAAACAAAAAACAACCAACAAACACATGAAAAAGTAATCACTGAAAAATATTAATAAAGAACAAATGTACTAACAACTCACACGGACAGCATTCCAAAAGATTCCTTTAGGGACCTCTTAAGACTTTGTGTACTTCCTTTTTGTTTTCAAATTCACTGCTCTTAATTTATTCTGGGGGAAAGAAGTTATTTAAATTGTTTATTTTTTATGCCAATAATTTAGTATTAAATTGTTTGCTCATTTCTTTCTTATTAATTTTCTGGTGATATTTAATATTTCACTCTTCCCTGCCACACTGATCCTTATTCTAATTTATTCAATTTCCACAGACACACATACCAACATTACACTTCTATTCACTCTCAAAGGAAAATAAAAACAAAACACCACAAAGGCTTTTTTATTTTGAAAGAAGGAACTCTCCTCACTAATGGATAATTTTCAGGATGACAGTTCTCCCCTACAGAATTGTTATACACCGTATAGCTTCTGTTAGCTAGCACTTAATGTGTAATTTAACTAATATAAAGACTTTCTAACTACTCACAGGAATACAAAATCCTGCACTTGTAAGCAGTAATACTTCAATGGAATGGGCAATTCAAAGCAAGTGGAAGTTTTAAAGATGCTCATGAGAAACTTCACACTTCACAGATGTAAAAGTGTTTGCTAATGTACAAAAGCTCTTAAAATCATAAAGACTATCCAGAGGTGAAGGGTGATATGATGCTTCTTTTTTTCCATCTACAGTTAACCTTAGGAAAAGCCTACACCAGCTGTCAGAAAAATTGTTCTTTTCATGAGAGATCACTGATGCTTTCCACCTCAGTGGCCTTTCCCACAAAATGTACAGAAATTGAGTCACTTTCTAGGCCCTGGTTCACAGGCACAAGGACACACTGCAGTTTCTGTAAAAATGCAAGGACTCGCATCGCAAATGTTGTAACACTCACAAGAAGAGGTGGCATAATTTTATAACCTGTCCTTTTCTTCTTTTTTACACCTAGTCAGATCTTGAGAAATTATCCTTCATATTGAGGAAACAGTCTACTGTCTTTCACAAACACATTTCCCCATCCATAAAACCTCTTAATGAAGAATTTAACAAAGATTTAAGGCAATTTTCACCTTTACAGCTTAAAGTAGCAGGTTCCCAAGTTTCATTTGCAGTGCAATACGAGAACTTTCCCTCGTTGCTGTAAAACCCTTCTTTACATTCATAATGAACCGCACTTCCAGGTAGCAAGCTGTAGTTCCCCACAATGTAGCCATGCTTCATTTCAGGAGGAGAACCACATCCGATTTCTGCAAAGAGATGGGAGTCAAAAGATCTTACAGTTCAAAAATCACAACACAGACACTTTAAAATGAGCTGTACTGGATGGACACATCACAAAATACATCTAGTCTCATGAATCTGAGGGGATGCCAAAGGGCTAGAAGATTAAAGAGTTGTACTGGTCACAGATGGAGGAGCACAGTGATCCAGGTATTGAGCTGCATCCTTACTAACACACAGCTGGAGCCATTCACAACACCAAAGGGGAGATACTGCAATGTGATGGTGCTGCGCATGTGTCAGTCTCATCACAGCAATGGCTGAATGATTCTTCAACAGCAAAGGAAAATTTCAGGCCCCAGTGCACAGCCTTTCCCTGTGCACAGGAAAGGTGAAGCACGACAGATAGGCTGAAATGAAATGGTCTGCTCTCTGTTCCTCCATCTTCCTGAACCAGCCTTCATAGAAAAGTGACATTCCTTCAGCACAACTGTTTGGCAGCGCTCCCCTGCCTGACTCCGCAAGCAACTTGTCAGTACAGACACAACTACCTCACCACAAAATGTGGATGGGAAAGCTGGCGAGATAAGCAGGTTGATCAGAAATTAAACTTAGCAAAACTAAGTGGAGCACTCCAGTTGGAAAAACTGGACAAACTACAGGCACTGAGTTCTACTGACAGTTCTTGCAATAATTCAGAAATGAGAGTTGGGTATAATCGAGGCAGTTCCTTCCACCTGGGATGCCTGGGTTCATTACAGACTCATTTGACAGCTCCAGCTGAGAGTGCTAGCACTCTGCATCTGTGAAAATCTGCACTAGAGAGGAAAAGACGAACAGTTTCAAATTGAAATTTTTTTACGGCAAAATAAACAGAACAGTTTATTTAAGCAGTTGGCACAGTATATAATAAATAGCCAAGCTATTATTTTATTTTTCCTCTCCTCTAGCCTTGTTTCATTCATCTGACCTCTCTTACCATGTATTTATCCCTCCTTTCCTTCCCCTTCACACAGTGTGATTATATAAGCAAGTGGATTATACCACACTTCCCTCCTATTCAGAAACTAAATACATCTCCTTCAATGCATTGTTAAGCTTCTCTCACCCTGCACACCAGAACTCCTTCCAAGAGCCTTTAGAAATAATATCCAGTGTCAATCCTACTATCCAGACATCACTGGAACAAACTGAATCCAAGAAGAAAAATCATATAGCAGGTGAAGTCCAGAGACAGGGCTTCTGCCCTGCAGACTTAGAAGCACAGGTCAGAGCAGGTACTACAACATCAAGCAAGATCCGATTTTACCTGCTAGGAAAAACTCTAACCTTTGCATGACACTATGTTCCCGTCTGGATGAAAAGAACGTTCTTCATTTTCCAATTTATAACCATCACTGCAGTAACACTTGTAGCTTCCTTCAGTATTCATGCATCTTGCATTGTGACCACACAGCCCAGACTCCTCACATTCATCAATATCTAAAAATTCAGAGAAAAATACATACACTTCATAATAGGTTTTCGGTTTGGGTTGGGTTTTTTTTCTAATTAATGTAGGACCAAGCTTAAAACAAATAAAACATTTCATGAATGGTTCTACATAGCTTCTGATGACTTTTCTGGGAAACAAAGGAGCTTATCATTGCCTGGTGTTCAAGCATCTGGAAGAAGGAGACTCTGAATTTTAGAGCTAGCTATCTTTCAAATTGTTTCTGTTTTACCTGACAAATAGTTTCCAATGTTATCTCCTAGTACAACGATCCCAGAAAAATACCATATCTGCAAGTACCTCACTCGGTTACAACAGTTTGTTACTATAACAATGAACTGCCTAATAATCTACACAAATATGACACTCTTGGGGAAAGGTAAGTTTATCTTAAGAAAATCTTATTTTCTTTAATCTAGGTGCTTCTTCTGGAAAGATTATTGCCTATTGCTGCGAGACAATGATCTGTAACACAGCAAACAATGCTAACTAGAACTATTTCATAGCTCTTAGAACATAGATGTCAAATAAGTGTTAGCAACCACAGCAGAAAGTGCTCTGACATACTTTTAGAAAATAAGTTCTAAAGTGAGGGGGGGGGAAGATTTGTGCAGCAGAAAATTTAAGTTCTGGATTCATGGTGCTCAAGATTCTTTGTGATGGCCTACCTGTACAGTTTGTGCCATCATTGGGAATAAACGTCTTGTTATTGTTGGAGGCTCGGTATCCATCAAGGCAAACACAGTAAAAACTCCCATGTGTATTATGACACAGTGTATGATTTCCACAGATCTTGCTGGCTCCAATCTGACATTCATCTTTATCTGTCAGCACATTTAAAATACATCAGAGAGAGATTTTAAAAAGTAGAATATCCTTCCCTCCTCACTCATTCTTGTGTAACCAGACTTCCCGTAACTGTTTTTATCTCTAAGTTATTTGGGATGTAAACACTGTTGGTAAACTGGAGTATTTAGATTAACAGAGGTTGGCATCCCTATATGAAACTGAATAAAGTTGCATAACATAGCTTGAGTTGATCTAAGAGCTGTTGGAAACAGAGGAGCCTGCTCTCCGCTTCTGCTCTTGATGGAGCTAGCGCTGATCCTGCCCAACTCACTCAACTGGCAGAGAGCATGGCAAAATGTGCAGCTTGCCTTCTCCCACAATACCAAGATAAATGAATTCTGTGCAGGGCCCAGCTGGTGCCAGCGTCTGAGAAGGAAGGGGAAGAGATCAGAAGTGGAGGAGCTTCACCTTTATTAAGCAGTGGTAAGTTGTTACGTATACTCAGACACAGCATTTGACATCGTCCTTTGATTCATGTACTGATTTATCACATATGAGATAGTCTTAAAAGGATGCTATCAGCTGCAGTAATAAAACAACGCTTAACACTTTTCATGTAACAGATATTTGCACTTAAGAAATCTGCGTATAAATGCACACTGTTATTAAGAACAGACCTTCAATTTATTAAATTAATTTTTAGTTACCCAGTAATCTGAGGTAACTGGAAAAATTACCAAAAAAGTGCTAATTTTAACTGTCAGTTTTATTGTCGGTTTTTAATCGTTCCAATATATTTGAAAAACAAATATTTTATAAAACCCTATATATTCTAAGACAAAATTAATTTCAATCCATCATAATTTAGCAGAAACTGAATAAAATAAACAGCTAAGTAGAAAACAATACTTACATCAAGTACAAGTACAAGCTCATGGCTAGCCATTTACAAAAAAAATCCAAACATATTCCAGGTTTTGGAAATTTTGCCAGAAAATTACAAAGCTTTTAACATGTTTTGAAGAATTCAGTAATATTACTTGAAAAAGAACATTTTAGGAATGTACATAGTTTCTTGCCATTTCACAAAAAGCCAGCCTACCTTGACAATGAGTTCTTCCATTGCCTACAAATCCATAGTTACAGATGCAGACACTTTTTCCTTCAATTTGATGACATGTAGCATGAACGTGGCAAGTTGCACATACATCTGGGACTGTTCTTTTCACAACTGCTTCAAGAACAAAAAGACACTTTTGGTTTTTTAAAGGACCATAAAGGTGGTCTGATAAGGGTAACTGGCACAGAATTTAAAGTGGAGATAAAATCCAGATTAAAACACATAGAGTAAAATCCCATCTCCTAGCATCTCATTTTCAACTTGCACAAAAACCACAGTCATAGTATTCTCAGACCAAAGATTAAAAAAAATAAACAGAAATTATTAAAGTAACTACACTGAACAGTTTTCTCCACCCATCTATTCTTTGACAACAAAACAGCTTTTCAGCAGTTAGCAAGGCTTATGAGACATAATAAGAAGCTCTATCTAATATTATTCATCTCTTCTCCATATTCATTTTATTTTCCTTCTGTGTTGATTTCTGTTTCCTCATTTATTCGATTGTTTTGTTTATATTATTCATGCATAGGCATTTGGGCTATTTATCAATCTATTTCTATCTTTTATCATCACCATGTATACGGTACAAATGTTATTCATAAAACAATGTTGAGAATGCTGCCAGTTGAACAATGAATTATACTAAAGTCATTTTAGAAATAGATTTATATTAGAAGTAGTTTAGCCCCATATGACACACAATCTAATTTACTGTAATTTGACAGGGCTATACACATGAAACTAGAATAAAATATGAACTTATCCTTTTTTTTTATTCATACTTTCAGTGCATTATGTGCACTTCTCTCCATTTTTGTAAGCTCTTTTTGTTATGTGTTTCACACATGCATTGTCTTTCCAAATTATAAACCCCAGAACGGATGGCTTGAATGCAGACAAAGCACGTATATGCTTACACATTTTTTTACATTTTTAAATAAATAATACAGCATGAGCTGATGTCTCATGATGCTGGACAGAGCAGTATGGAATTATTTACTCTTCTAAGACAGCTAAGATTGATAGGGTTGGTGCGGTTCTTACAGAATACAAATCTTACTACATACCTGACAATCCTGACAAAAACTTGCTTGCCTTTACATGGTGTCTAAATACATAACCTAATTGGAAGGAGAAGACAGCTAAACACTCCAGCTAGCTTTTTTCAGTTTATCAATGTGATAAAACTGTCCTTCCAAGTGCAGTGTTTTGTTTTACTGAGTCCCTTAAGAGTCTCAGGAAGCATCATAGTTTCCTACTCTTAATTCTCAATGCTTTTATATACATTTGTGTGTGTGTTTTCCTAATAGGAACAGAAAACAAAAACTGTCAGCATGCAATGGTGGCCAATACAGGTCGGACAAATTTAAAAACGGCCATGGTAAGAACTTTCTCATGATATCCCAATCTTCTGATACGACACGGGAGTGTCCTCAGATTGCTGCTCTAGAAGACAAAAAATGTCCCCCCCCCGCCCCCATTACTACTACAAATTAAACTTCAAGCCTTATTTCTCCTTAGCAGCATACACTTTTTCACTCCACCGCTAAAGTCACCTCATGCTTCCAGTCCTACCCAGTTACTCCCTCAGGCGCGGCTCCT